TAAAGGAGGTCAGACACCCCCTTCACACCATTTATACAAGGTCTTTGGGCAAAGTGTTTTTTTTTTTTTTTTAAAACCTAAATACCTAGGAGTACAATTGCTAGGTCATAGGCTAAGTATCTATTTGACTTTAAAGAAGCTGTGAATTTTGTTTTCCAAAGTATATTTTATATTTCCACTAGCAATCCATGAGAGTTCCATTTGCTGTACTTCTTAAAAGCTTTTGAAAAGTGTAATTAGTTTGCCAGCTATGTATGCACTCAGAAAATCACTGATAAATTAATGGGTCGCTAATGTACACTAAGCATATGCTATGTATTTATCCATATGTTTTCTTCATTTCTCTCTCTATAATCAAAAAAAAAAAAAAAAAAAAACAAAAAACAACCCAAACTCATGCCATCGAGTCAGATCCAACTTATAGCAACCCCTCCTTGGGTTTCCGAGGTAGTATCGGTATGGAAGTAGATTGCCCAATCTTCCTTCTGAGGAAGGGTTTGAACTGCCAGCCTTCTGGTTAGCAGTCAAATGCCTTAGGCACTACGCTACCAGAGCTCCCAACCTACTGTTGTCGATTTGATTCTGACTCATAGCAACCCTATAGGGTGGAATAGAACTGTTCCATAGGGTTTCTAAGGCTGTAATCTTTAAAGAAGCAGACTAGCACTCTTTTTCCCATAGAATGGCTGGTGGGTTTGAACTCAGCACTTTATTACTATGTCACCAGGGTTCCTTTGATTAAAAACATCTAACCCTAACTGCCACACTGCCTTGCTCCCCCAACAGTTTATGGGTATATGGAGGTTTCTTTTTTCTTTTTTTGATATTATAATCTTCTTTCTTGGAATGGAGTAAAATTTACAATTTATGTTCTAGGGTTAAATCTTGGGAAACACCATTTAAACATATTTTCACTTTTTCAAATATTGTTGTTGTTGTTGTTGTTAGGTGCCATCAAGCTGTTTCCTACTCACAGCGATCCTATGCACAGCAGAATGAAACACTGTCTGGTCCTGTGCCAGCTCCACGATCCTTGCTATACTTGAGTCCATTGCCGCTGCCACTGTTGTCAATCCATCTCATCCTTCCCCTCTTTTGTTGACCCTTTACCTCACCAAGCATGACATCCTTTTCCAGTGAATGGTCCTTTCTGACAACATGACCAAAGTATGTAAGACAAAGTCTGGCCCATTCTTACTTCCAAGGAGCATTCCAGCTATACTTCTTCCAAGACAGATTTGTTTGTTCTTTTAGCACTCCATGGTACTTTCAGCATTCTTCGCCAACACCATGACTCAAAAACATTGACTCTTCCTTGGTCTTCCTTATTCATTGTCCAGCTCTCACATGCATATTAGGTGACTGAAAATACCATGGGAGACAGGACCCACCTACAGAGGAAGGAAAGGGAGGGAACTCCAGGGACAAAAAAAGCAGCAGGATCCAGGTAGAAACTAGGTAAGGGAAGGGCGGAGAGGTTTCCAACAGCTAAGGGAGATGAACTTGTTTGTCAATTTTCATACTGTGGTGGCTTGTGTGTTGCTGTGAGGCTTGAGGCTATGCCACTGGTGGTTTAAAAGCCAGCAGGGTTGCACATGGTGCACAGGTTTCAACGCAGCTTACAGACTGAGACAGACTAGGAAGAAGGAAGAGGCCATGCATTTCTCAAAGAATTGGCCAGGGATAACCTTATGAATAGTAGAGAAACACTGTCTGATACATTACTGGCCAACTTTATAAATAGCCACCTCATCAGAGTAGAACCAACCTTCATGATATGGCTAAAGTAAATCTATTGGGACCTCCATTTGCTGATGTGGCATGACTCAAATTGAGGAGAAACAGCTGCAAACATCCATTAATAATTGGAACATGGAATGTACAAAGTATGAATCTAGGAAAACTGGAAGTTGTCAAAAATGAAATGGAATGCATAAAGACTGATATCCTAGGTATTGTTGTTGTTATGTGCTGTTGAGTTGGACCTGATTCATAGTAAACCCTCCTTGGGTTTCTGAGGTAGTATCACTACAGAAGTAGATTGCCCAACCTTCCTCCTGAGGAGTGGCTGGTGGGTTTGAACTGCCAGCCTTCTGGTTAGCAGTCAAATGCCTTAGGTACTATGCTACCAGAGCTCCTATCCCAGGTATTAGTGAGCTGAATTGGACTGGTTTTAGCCATTTTGAATCAGACAACCACAGGATCTACTATGCTGGGAATGACAATTTGAAGAGGAATGGTGTGGCATTTGTCATTGCAAAGGATGTTTCAAGATCTGTCCTGAAATACAGTGTTGTCAGTGATAGGATAATATCCGTACGTCAACAAGCAAGACCAGTTAATACTATTATTATTCAAATTTACACACCAGCCACCAAAACCAAGGGGGAGGAAAATGAAGATTTTTTTATCAACTTCTGCACTCTGAAATTGACTGAACATGCAATCAAGATGTGTTAATTGTCACTGGTGACTGGAATGCAAAAGTTGGAAACAAAGGAGAATCATTGGTAGTTGGAAAATCTGGCCTTGGTGACAGAAATAATGCTGGAGATCACATGATAGAATTTTGCAAGACCAATATTCATATAATATTGCAAATATTCATTGCAAATATATTTTTTCAACAACACAAG